ACATGTACATGGGGGCGCCTCCCATGGGGTCGTCGTGCTGCTCTACTGGTGGCAATGACCTCCGCGTGTCGTTCCAGGAGGCCTGTGCGGCGACCGGAGGCGCGTGGCCTGGGTGGCGCGCGCGTGGTGGAGGGGTGGCCGAGCGTTCCCGGGCCCTGTTCTCTTCGATCACTGGTGGTCTCTGGTTGCTGCGGCCATCAGTGCGTCTCAGAGACCTGTTGTCCCGAGCCTCGTCCAAGTTCCGAATCCGCATGTCCCTGCTATGGGGGTTGCCTGGGGCGTTCCTTTCCCTGACTGCCTCCCTGAAGGCAGCCTGCTCATACGGGGGCCAGACATCAGAGTCGCTCCTTTCGGGCGCATTTACCCAGAGCTGGAGGGGATCTGGGATGACGGGGTTATCCTCAGGGGCCGCTGTGTCCGCAAGGTCGTCATCGGGGTTGGTGGAGCTGACGTGCGAGTCGGAGTCCACGGAGATGCCCTCGCTGGACCGCGCGTAGTCTTCTGACTCGGATCTTCTGCCTCCCTATTCTCCCCAATCAACCCCCTCCACGTCACCTTCACCTCTGCACGGGCCTGGTGGGGTTTGTCTCTCAGTCTGGGGGACAGAGGTCCCGTCGGCCTCGTCCAGCTGTGGGGGTGGCGCGGCAGCGCGGTCCAAGGATGCGCCTTGGGCCTCCATTCGGAGTCCTTCCGCGGGGAGTTCTTTGCTGCTGGAGTTCCTGTTGATCCAGCTAGCAGCTGGTGACTCACCCCCGCCAGAGCTGCTGGCTGCCGTCCCAAGGGCCAGTGCGGCAAGGTGGTTGATGGTGCCCCTGGCCAAGTCGGAGTCTTCCAGCCTTTTTAGGAAGGTCCTGAGAACGTAAAACGGCTGACGGAAGGGGCACTGCCTCTTCTGGTTGGTGAGGTTGTCTGCATGGCGTTCCCACTCTTCTTTGTGCTTCCGGCTATTGCCCGCCAGGTGCGTGACCACCCTGGCTGCTGCAGCGCGCTGTCCATCCCATGTGACACGCGGGGGGTGTCCTTTCTCTGGGATTGCCTTTCCGTACACAGCTTCCAGGAATGGGAGTAGCCTCTCCGTCGGCCAACGCATCTCCCCAGTTCTGCCCCCTTGGATATCCTCGCCTTGCTGCCGAGCGTAGGTGGCCCAGCGTTTGTAGATTGCGTGGCTCCACTCAATCGCGTACTTGACCAGGGCGCGGACAGGGCCGTCCGACTCAGCCCCCGCGAGACGGTAGGTGGAGAGCGTGGGCAGGTATGGGCACGACGGTGGGGGTACTGTGGGGGAGGCGGCCCCGCTGCTGCTGGAGGCCCTCCCATCGGCTCCCGGCTGGCCGTCTGGGTCACTGGTCTCCATGTCTTGCGGGGGCGCTTCCTCGCCGCGGGGCGTGGGTCGTGTGAATGCGTCGCTGACCGACGCAGTGATCCCTGGCGGGGAGAGGTGTGCACCCATGTCGTAGCTGTCTTCTGGCACCTCCGCTGTTGTCTTCCGCTTAGTAGGAGCGGTGGGGTATACCTCGGAAGAGTGGCGGTCAAGGATGTGGTCGAGGACGCCCGGCGCCGCGCTCATATGTGGATGAGGCATCTCCTGCAGGCCCATTCCGCGTTCCACTGCTGCCTGGTCCAGAGCGTGGGCATCATTTCCCGCGAGGGCAGGCCTGTCTGCTCGTTGCACTGCGCCTCTGGCTCAGGGCGCCACATGAAACATCCAAGAGCGGGGCGTCCAACTTTCCAGACAAGCAGAGGAGACCCGGGGGGGCAGGTGTCGCACGCTGCCGTGAACAAGTTCGTGCTATGTGACTCAGACCCAAACCTGCCATCCGACAGCCTGTGGGCTGGGAGGGTGGTGCCGACTTTTGATGGCAGAAATGCTGGAGGTGTGCGCTGTTTGATCGTCCGTACCCAATTGGCAGCCTGGCCAGATTGGGGAGGGTCCGAGCCTTCTTGCAAAAGCGCGCCTCTTCCAGCCTGCGTTTGTACTCCTGGGGGCGTTGCTGCAGGGACCTCTTCGTGCCACCGCCCACGCGGGTGGGGATGGGGACCTCGACACCTTTATTTTCCAGGGACTTGGTCCAGCGAAGCTCGCGAAGCCACCTGCAGTTCAATCCCTGCGCATGCGCCTGGGCGCGGTTCTGTGCCAGCAATTCTCTTGTGTAGTCATCTTCCCAGGTGCCGGCTGTGGCGTGCAACCCTGCGTTGGTGCAGTTGTCGCAGTTGTAGCTGGCGTCATGCTGCTTCCTCTGGAACCTGTCATCGCCCACGGAGGGAGGGATGAGCCTTGTGCCGGGTGCAGGGGAGGCGGGGAGGTCTTCGTCGAGGCGACGGTTGGACATGGCGATGCCGCCTCCGATGTACTGCACGTCTGCCATGGTATGTGGGCAGCCAAGTCCCTCTTCTGCACCAGCAAGTTCCTGATGTGGCTTGCATATGGAGCAACCTCCCTGGCTCAGGGGACTGTTGTCCGCGGGCTTGACTATCTCCTCCAATACGCGCAAAGGGGCCTCGAGGGTGAACCCGTACTTCAGCATCTCTGCCCACGCTTTAGGACAGCCGTGGTCGGATGCTGGCTTGCGATGGTGGGCGAAGGTGGCCAGCGTGCTGATGTGACGGATGGCGGTCTCCATCTTTGCGTGGAGGGAAGCAAGGGTGCCCAGGTTGAAGCCCCATGCAGCGGCGAACTGCGCGCGGAAATCCTCGTGGGCTTCTTGCCATGGCCTCAAAGATGCCCCCCTGTGGCCTCAGGGCGGGGGAAGGGCCAAAGCGTTGCGCGGGGTTCGCGGAGCTGCAACATCATGACCACCAGTAGGACTCTAAGCGTGGGAGTGTCAAGCGGGAGCCCGTCGCCGCTGAGAAGGGCATGCTTGAGTGCTGAGGAGGACTGGCCTGGGCGGAGCAGGGAGTGTAGGTGCTTCATCCCCGGGTGTACCCTGCGTCGCTTGCAAGTGCCCGTCTCTTGACTCCAGGCCGCGGGGAGCTGGGGAAGCACATTGTCGGGGGTGCACCGACTGGTGGGTTTGGGGCGGTTGCTAATACCTTTTGCACAGGGTAATGGGGGAAGTGAGTCCAGAGAGACCTTGTGCTGGGAGCTGGCCCACGGGCATCCTTGGGGTGGCGCCCATGGGCCATTGATGGGGGTGGAGTCCGGCGACAGTGTACAGGATGACACCCATCGCTCGGTCCACGACCAACCTCTGCAGGCTGCCTGTGATGGCTTCACCCAGCTTCGCCCAGGAGAACTCGGGATCGAGCGGGGCTGCGATTCGGTCGGCAAAGTTGTTCTCCATGGAGGCCTTGGCTTTCTTAATGGCATCATCAAGCCCTTTTAGGACGTCGTCCCCAGTGTGCGTAGGGGCTGCAGGGATCCACGAAGTGAGGTCCTTGATGGGATCGAACTCGTGATCGGTCTCGAGCTGCCGCCTTGTGCCCAAGTCCTCTCCTTTGAAGCGGACCCACGGCTTTGCAGATCTGCCAAACTCCGAAAGTTCCCGTAGGCGGGATCCCGTGGCTGTGCCGAACATCCTTCCGTCACCAATGATGACAACGTTGGTGGTGGCACGCGTGATCGCGACGTTCACCCTGTTGGGGTTGTCCCTGAAACCCCAATCGTGCCACTTGTTGGACCGCGTGGTCAGGTATATGACCAGGTCGGCCTCGCCACCTTGGCTAGAGTCAATTGTGGAGATGGTGAGTTTGCCGCTTGTCTGGTGCTCTTCAGCGTGTTGCCGTAGTCCAGGGAAGCAGGGGGAGATGCCGGTGAGAGGGGGGTCGTACTGGTCGAACACGCTTGCGCGGGCCGTGGTGTCAGGAGCGTACGCTGGGGGATGCAGTGGGGATACGCGAAGCGTGAAGAATTTGACCCTCCCTGGGGTCTTCCCCCCCTCCGTTTCCCGAAATTCGGAATTCGAAGTATGAGGAGCCAGGAATGACCACAAAAAGGGGGCGGGATTCCAGGTCTCCCATAATTGGAGTTCCGACTTTCGGGAAACAGGGGGAGGGAGAGGCCCCTGGGGGGGAGGTCGAGGTCCTGGCGGGGTCCCCGCCAGTCGTCTGGCCATGGTTTTTCCACAGTTCGAAATTATGGCAAAACCTAGAACCAGTAAAAAAATAAAGAAGAAGACATTGTGGTTTCGTGGTGATTCCAGGTTTCCCAACTTTCACAGCCGAACGACTGTCTCCTGGACAAGGGAAGGGGGGGAGGTTTTAACCTCCCCTCTCCTTGGATGGGGGGGGCTGCCCCCCTGTTAACCAGAGCGGCCAGTGTCGTGGGGTGGGTGGGCGATGTTTTTATGGGGGGGCACTGGGATGACCGTGGATAGGGGGTTTACAAGTGGATGCTAAGGTGGGGTATACCTCGCCCAACCTGGCTTAGAAGTGGGTTATATGTTCCCCGAGTGGCTTAGGGGGGTTAAGATAATTCGGCGAAGTGGGTGGAACCCACGTAGCCCGGATCGTTAGCCCCCCTGAGCTACTTAAGGCACTTGTAACCTTTTTATAAGCCAGGTGGGGCCAGAGATAACCCACCTTGACATCCACTGGTGACCCCCCTATCCACTTAGAAGCCCCCACGGTCTTCCCACCAGGGCGGAGGGCGGCTCCGACGTGTCAGAGGATTTTTGTCCAAGCAAGCGTCCACGAAATGCGTTTTCCCCGTCCTTCAGAGCCCGGCCGGATCTCAGAGATCCGGACCCGAGTGATCCCGGTCGTGGCCGCGTCTAATCTCAGAAAGCCCACCGGTATCGACGCCCAGGCAGGCGACGTCGTGTTTTTTTCGATACGGGGTCCCCGGAAGTCCCGACCCTGTCTCCGGGGCCGGTTTTTCATCCTGAGTCGTCTCGTTGACGCTCCCGAGGCCTGGCGAGGGCCCCCAGGGGTCGAGAATAGCGAAAGGCTTGCCGCTCGGAGGTTTTGTTCTGCGACGCGATCATGTCTGCGGCTTTATCTCAGGAAGCCCACCGGCACCGAAGAGGGTGGGGGGCGCCGTGCGCCGCGGGCCCCCCGGGCAGGAGGAGGCCGCCGCGGCCGGGGTGGAGAGCGCCGCGCCCGCCGGGCAGGAGGCCGCCGCGGCCGGGGCGGAGGGCGCCGCGCTCGTGCGGAGCGTGTCGAGCAAGAGCTTGGCGACGGACCGGCCCGATGGCGACCTCGTGGTGAAGAGGCAGAAGTCGTGGCTGCCCGACGAGGCCCCGTCGGGTGATGAAATAATCCCAGACCCCCTCGAGCAATGAAAGACTCACGACGGGAGGCTTTTCATCGTTTTCGGCCTCTGGGGGCCCTTACCGGGCCTCAGGACGGTAAAAAAACGACTCAGGATGAATAACTGGTCCCAGGGAATTGGTCGAAACCCCTGGGGGTCGACGTTATGACAAGATCATGACGTCGGGGGTCTGGGATTGAGACGTGGGGGGGTTGGGGGCAACTTTCGGCTTGTATGGGCCGCACCAGGCCTCGGGAACGTCAAGAAACGGCCCAGGATGAAAGGACGGCCCCCAGGAGAGGGTCCAGAACTCTGGAGCCCCACCCCACTGATTCGGATGCAACTCCTGGGAGGTCAAATTCTGATTTGCACTGGTCCGAAGTCCGGCTTAATCCCATTAGATCCCGCTTAATTCCGCTTAATCCCGCGCAATCCGGCTGAATCCCGCTTAATCCGAGGCCCCTTCGGCGTATCAGCTCCCAAGTGGGGCTTAATCCTCCTTGATCTTTCCGACGAAAACCTCCCAGTAGTTGCCTCCTAACACTTCAGTTCACGACGTCGCGGGGTATTGGAAGGGGGACGAGGGTGGAGTTGCGGAATCTGCCGCACGCAGTTGGTTCCGGCCCCGCCGCCGGGCGCTTCGCCTTTGTGTACACATTGTTCATCTCTCATTCTTCGAAAGTTCTCTGATTTTTTGGGGGCCGAGATCCTCTCGTTTCTCATTGTGCTGTCCTGGACCTCCTCCTGGCCACCAGGGGGCCAGGAGCAATCGGCAACGAGCACACTCAGAGAACTGATCACGGTTGGAAAGGAGCGCGACGTGTGCATCGGCGCGCAGGGCGGCTGCTCTGTCCCCCCCCCCCTTTGCTGCCTCCCCCTCGTCGTCCGACCCCGGGGTGTCAGGCCGGGCGACGGGGCCCGTGCACGTGCACCTCCACCGCCCCTGGCCAGGCCCCACCCCCCGGGGCCCCATGGAGCGGTGCACGTGCTCCCCCGGTGGGGGGGGAGGGGGAGGAGGGGGGGGAGGAGGAGGAGGAGGAGGAGGAGGGGGAGGAGGAGGAGGAGGAGGCGGAGCGGAGGGGAGGAGGAGGAGGAGGGGAGGAGGAGGAGGAGGGAGGAGGAGGAGGAGGAGGAGGAGGAGGAGGCGGAGGAGGAGGAGGAGGAGGAGGAGGAGGAGGAGACCAGGACACCAACACCACCAGCGGGCCACCTCCAGCGGGGAGGTGCGCGATGCCACTCCGGGCCGGGAATGGGGGATGCCCCGAGCGAGAGGGGGGACCACACCACCAGGGGACCCTTCCCTGGCTCCTCCGTCTGGTGGTCCCTGGTGGTGTTGGTTGTCGGTTTTCCTTGTTCCTACCTTGTGTCGGTCCAGGGGCGTATATTTTGAAGTCGGGCATGTCCCTCTACACGAGGAATCTTCAAAAACAGTTTGGGGATGATGTTTGACGATGCTTGACTTTTTGAGCATCGTTCAACGGTTTCTTGGTTGTTCGTCCCAAAACCCCCCTGTTGGAGGACATGCCCGACCTAAGCGTATATACATCGCTCCCCATGAGCTCCGACGTTGCAAAAAAAATGCAGCGTCGCAGAATACAACACGACTGGAGCCCTGGCCCCCAGGTTTCAGCTGTGCCAGTCTTCGAGCCAGGTCGGTCTGCGAGAGGTCCGCGGGGCGCCATGAGCGAGCGAAAACGCCCGTGGTGCAAGAGTTGTAATGATGCCAGGATCTCAGGGTTTGCTTCCCTGGTCGACCCAGGGGCGTGTATATATATAGATATAGATAGATATATATATATATATATATATATATATATATATATATATATATTGTAGTGGCCTTCGGCCAGTGCCGCCGATCCGGGTCGCTCGGATACACATATTACGCGGACACCTCACGCACGCACACGACCAAATGCACATACGGCAGACACACATACAGAGACACACTAGGCGCACGCCAGACACTAGCACGCACAGACATTCGCAGACACGCACCACACACAGACACTCGCACAGGAGCCTGTCAGGGCGTCGAGGGGGCTTCTTGGGGGCTTTTGGGGGCCCTCTTGGGGGCTCTTGGGGCCTCCTGGGGGCCTCGTGGGCTGGAAGGCTAGATTTTTCTCGCTTTTCGTCCCTCTTTTGGGTCCTCTTGGGGCCGTCTTGGGGGCCTCTTGGGCCGTCTTGGGTAGCTTTTGGGCCGCCTTGGGGCCCTCTTGGGCTGTCTTGGGACTGTCTGGGGGCCTCCTGGGCCGTCTTCGAGCGGTCTTGGGGGCCTCTTGGGCCGTCTTGGAGCGTCGGAAAGCCGAAGAAAGCAACAACCCCAAAAACATGAAAAAAACTAATGGAAATCAGCGATGTTTGCCTCTGGGGGCCCTCGTGGGAGGCCTCTTGGAAGGCTCTTGGGCCGTCGTGGGGCCATCTTGGGCGTGTTCGGGCGATCTTTCGGGGTCTCGGGACTTTCGTAGACCGTCCTAAGAGACTTTTGCGGCCGCGGCCACCCTTGTAGCGCATCCTCGAGATTAGAGCCTTCTGTAAAAGCAGCCCCCCCGCATCCGCCGGAAACTCGCACCCCCCCCCCCCCATCCCCCCTTCCCCGGCAGAGCCACCCCGGCAACCCCCCCAGAGGCTGAGGCTCAGCCTCGAGGCTGTAGCTGAGACTCCTTGAAACTCACACGCCGGATCGGCGGATATATCCATTTTGGCTCAAGCCATTTTGGCTCAAGCCATTTTGGCTCAAGCCTCGCTTGGACCCCGCTTGGGGTCCAAACGGGGTGAGAGCCCTGTAGCCTGATTGACTCAGTGGGGCCGGCCCCTAGCGCCCCGCGCACAGGGCGCCTTCCGGCCCTGCGTGCTCTCTCAGTCTCGGCCGCCATCCTGGTCCGCGGACTGGCTTGCGCGCGTGCTGCTCCTGGCGAGGCTGGCGCGAGGGCGCCGGCATCGCATGCCTGGCAGCCTTTCCGGCGTGTGCTGCCATGGCTTCCGGCGGCCGTGCGCCTGCTGCTGGTGATGGAGCTGCGATGGAGCCGCAGCACATGGCCGTCGGCAGCGCGAACTCGGCGGGCATCGCTGCTGCCCCGCCGGACCGGCCTGCGCCGCTACCGGACGCAGAGTCGCCGCACGAGGTATCGCCATCATCCGCTGCGGATGGCCGCCATGCGCTGCAACGAGTGGTGGCTACGCTCACGGACCCTGCCACCGGAGTCCGTCTCGACATCTACGACGACAGCACCGCCACGAACATCGCGCGCGTGCTCATCTATGCCGCCAAGGCTCATGTCCGGGCAGCTGCTGCAGCTGCCCCTGGTGAACACGAGTCGCTCCTGAAGGCCTTCGCGCTCCCGCTCTCCAAGGCTGGGGCCGACAACGGGGATGAGGCTACCAAGTGCCTTCCCGACGCCGAGGTCAGCCAGAGCCTCATCAGCGTCGAGTCCGACATCGATGCCGTCGAGCGAGGTGCGACCGCCATCCTCCTCAGCGCCGCGGCCCACAGGCGCGCTGAGGACAACGCGTCTCTCCACACCGAGGCCGACGAGGCCGGGCCCGGCGTCGCTTCTGGCACCCCCTTCGGACCGCTTCCGGGGAGCTCGGGGATCGAAGCCCCCTCCTCGCAGTATGAGGCCGTTCGGAGCCCGGGAGTTGGGGCCGGTACTGTCGCTCACGAGGCAGGTGCCGATAGTCTGATCTTCACGCCCCAGCGTGCAGACGGCAGACCAGAGCATGGAGCAACCTCTGTCACGCCTGGCCTCTCCAGCCAGGTGCCGACACGATCAGATGCGGCTAACATCTTTGACGAAGTTCACCTTGCCACGCCGCTCGCAGCTAAACGGGACCCCCATGATCCCGGAAGCTCCAGTGACGCCTCCGCCGAGGCCCTTGCCGATGAGAAGACGAACGAGTCCGACAAGATGAGCCTCCCAAAGGTGCCAGAGTTCCCTTCCGCAGCGCTGTAGTCAGAACTCGTGGGCGCCGAGGGTAATCTGGACAGCAACGCTGATCCCAGGGACATCGTTGATGACCATCCTGTGTTCCAATCCGTGAGTGGAATGCAGGCAGATCTGATCGGACAGACAAGCACCAGCATGCCATTATTTGTAGGTGCGCATGGAGTGCCATTGAAGCTAATAGTAAAGGCTATGCACTCCGTCAAATACATTAAGACCCTCGCAATGAAGGTTGCGAGAATGCATGATCATGACACGGCTAAGTGTCAGGTGTCATTTGCTTTTCTGGACGATGCGCACGAGCTTCAGGCGGTAAGCACCCGAGATGATCTTCTGCTCACGTCTGTCCTGAAATCGTTGCCTAGTGACTCCCTCGTGGTCGCGAGGATTGCGCCTATGTGAGAGGCCCTGCCCAGTGATAGAGCCTCGTGGCGGTGTAGCTGCATGTCTTTGCCTGCTCTGCCCCGCCGACGCTTGACAGCGTTCGTGTCTGGATAGCGTCCTTGTGTTCGTCAGCCGCCTGCCTGGTGAACACTCCAGTGCAACTGAGCCCAGTGTCTTAGTGCACGCCCATAGTGCCCTCTTGCACTCAAAGCCTAGAGATCCGATGCTTGAGACTACCATTCCTTGCCGAATAAATAATAATAATATATATATATATATATATGTATGGTAGTTTTGACAACTGAATGCTAAGCGCTGGCGCCAGGGTGGACGTACTCGCATCTTGGCTCAAAGTTTTTGGGGCACCTCGCGCCAGCCTCCCATGCTTGCGGCCCTCGGCGCTGTTGTGCCGGAGCTCAGCCGCGGGGTGGGCACTGGAATCGCTCTCTGGGCGGCCCGTGGCCCGCCTGCCGCCTGCCACTGCGAGCCCACCTCCACCTGCCCCGACGTGCACTGCGACTGTTCAGGCTTGCGGGGCGAGTCCCTGCACGGCCCGTCGGGCGCGGTCCTGCTGCTCGGGGGCCTATGCATCCTGGTTGCCGGCGCAGCCGCTGGCACGGCAGGCACCATCCTGGTCTTGCGACGGCGGAGCTCGCCCTGGATCTCATCGGAGGGCGGCGACACGGGCGACGTGCTCGGCGAGGAGGCGCGCGCGCAGGTGAAGACCTTGCGGCAGCGGGCCCTTGCTCATCAGTGATGGCGGTGCCCGCTGCTCCCGTGCACGCCTCGCTGGCGGATGCGGGCGTTCAGGTCGGAGTATTCCTCGGAGTGGCCTTCAACATCGGCGGCCGCGACCTGGTGCACGAGCGGGTGGTTGTCGCGCTCAACCCAGCGACGCCAGGCTCAGCGTCGATCGTCACGGTGGACGGGGACGAGTATGAGGAGCAGTTCGTTGGCAGCGCGGACGTCCGCTACTGGGGCCTGCTGCCCATGGAGCTCCAGGGGGCGATCTCGCGTGGGCACCCGCGGCACGGTACTGCCGCTTCCGGGCGATCCCAACCTCGGCTTCATTGACCGAGGCAGCTCGGAGGGCCTGCGCTCGCCTCGGCCTCGCTGCGCCCGTGAGTGCCGTGGTGCCCAACGTTGGCGGCCGCGCGGCCGCGCCAGCTGCTGCCTGCGCGGCGGCCGCCCCTGCGCCCCTGGCGCCCCCAGCAGCTCCAGTCGCTGGTGGGCTCGGCGCCTTGGTGGCGGCGCTAAGCGGCCCGGCTGGCGCGGCCCCAGCTGGCGTGGGTGCCCTCGCCGCCGCCGCGCCTGCCGCGGGAGGAGTGCTCGCGCGCCCTGCCGTCCCAGCGGCGCCCGCCCCTGCGCCGGCGGCTGCTGCGGCCCCCGGCGCCCCATGCGCGGCGCTGGTGGCTGACGGGGCGGCGGGGCCAGCGGGAGGAGCGGTGCCAGCCCCATTCGCGCTTGGCGGCGACGCGCGCGCGCTGGCGGTGACGCGGGATGCTAGAGCGGACTTCCGCGCATCGGTGGCCACGACGGTCGAGCTTCCCTGGGCAGATTGGCCCGTGCGCGGGCCTCGCACTCTCCAGCGGGCGCTGCAGTACATGGCGCATCGCGCAGGGACTCCTACTGCCCATCATCAGAGATGGTTGTCGGAGACAGGGCTGGAGTTGGAGGCGCCCGGCGTCGAGCTTCACCACATGGCCTGCATGGTGCTGGAGACGTCGGTCACCTACGACCAGGAGCGCGCCACCAACTTGGCGCACTTGGAGCTGGTGGCCCGCGCCATTCAAGTGCAGGAGGAGCGCTACAGGCACTTGGTCGCTCCGAGCGAGACGGGCGCGGCCGACCGCGCGGTCGCGATGGGCTCGCTGGAGCTCGACGGCTCGGCGCGTGTCTGCCCGGCCCTGCGGGGCCATCTCGCGCTGGAGCTGCAGCGGGAGATGGCAGTGGCCAGGGAGAGGCGCAAGGCGCGCGAGGAGCGCGCCCTCGCTGGCGGCGGCGGCGGCGGCCGCGCTGGCGGCGAGGGGCGCGGACGAAGGGGGCGCGGGGGCCGTGGCGGCCGGGGCGGCGGCGCCAACGCCGCAGGCGGAGATGGATGATGGTCCCAGGGCGGTCGGCCTGGCCAGCCACCGCCCGCGCCCCTTCGGCCCAGCGCGGGCGACAACAGTGCGCCCCGCGCTGACGGCGGCTGCTGCTCGGCTTCCGCCGGCAGCCTTCGGCAGAAGGACATCTTCCCGCTGCCGCGGCTCGCCCCCGCTGATGCAGCGCCAGGCCCGTCGTCAACTCGTCGGCGAGTGCGCGCCGGCCATGTCCTGGAGCATTCGCTGAGCCGCGCCAGCGCTGCTGCGCATGCCCTGAATTACCTCTACGGCGACTAGTCCTCGCCCTCGCCTTCGGCCCCGTCGGCTGGGCAGCGCTCCGCCGCAGGTCACATCTGGGACTCCATCGTCGCGCCCGGGCCAGAGCCTGATGAGTATCGCGACGACATCTCAGACCCCAGCGGGGCCCTTCGGGAGCTTCCTTGCTGGGTCCACTTTGTATCCTGACAACAGTGGGCCCACCACCCCCTACGTGCCAGACCTCGTCTCCTGGCCTGACGTCTCGCAGCCGCCGGCGCCTCTCCATGGGCTGCTGGGTGAGCGGGACTCCGCCGCGCTGCGGGAGTGGAGGCGCCATGTGCTTCGAGATTTTGAAGAGACGCGTCAGCTGCGCGGGGAGGCCTGCCCGCAGGGCCCGTGCACGGACCCCGCGCTGCTCCGCTCGCCAGTTGACTACGCCTCATTCCTCGGCGCGATGGTCGAGCGCCGCGTGCTGATCTTCTCTCCTGCGCATGGGCGTCGGGGTAACATGGGAGTTTTCTTCGCGCCAAAGAAGAGCGGGCGCCTTCGTGTGATCTTCGATGCTCGCCTGGCCAACTGCGCTTTCACCGACGCCCCGAGGACCCAGCTGCCTTCGGCATCAGCCTGGGGGCGCCTCGAGACGGGTGGCACGCGCATCTCCGTCGCCTCGGCCGACCTCGACGTGGCGTTCTACCGCGCGCAGGCGCCCGAGGGGATGGAGGAGCGCTTCGCGCTTCCACCAATCGCTGCAGAGTGCCTGGCGCCCCTTGGCATTGCGGTTGCAGGCGTGACTGGCGAGGACCTCGTGCTACCCCAGGTGGTGGTGCTTCCCATGGGCTTCAGCTCGGCCTTGCACCTGTGCCAGACGGTGCTCCAGACGCCGTTGTTCCGCGCAGGCTTCTCGCCGGAAGACCTGGCCCTGGATGGCAACTGCGGCTCCCCAAACCAAGTGAGCCAGCGGCTGCAGGTGGTGACCGACGACCTTACCCGGCACGGGCTTGCGGTGCACGAGCTTGAGGCGCCCTCCCAGAACCGCGACTTCTTGGGGCTGTCGCTGCGCGAGGGGCGCTGGCTCAGCCTGCGGACTCGCAACATCTGGAGGCTCCGCGCGGCGATCCGCGCCGCCACCCGGAGGCAGGTCATCAGCGGCCCCCTCTTGCGGGCGCTCGCGGGGCGCATCGCCTGGGCGCTGCTGCTGCGGCGCGAGCTGCTGTGCATCCTCAATTCTACCGATGCCTACATTCAGGCTGCGGGGGCCATCGCTGCTCCGCTTTGGCCGTCAGTCCGCCGTGAGCTTCTTCTTGCACATGATCTGCTGCCTCTTTGCACGGCCGACCTGGCTGCTCCATGCCACGAGCGGATAGCGTGCACAGATGCCTCGCCGTTCGGGTTGGGCGTCGTTGCCCGCCGCGCTCCAAAGGACCTAGTGGGCGCCACGGGGAGAGTCGCTGAAAAATGGAGGTACAAGATCGAGGGGGGAGCGGAGCGCAGGCTAGGAACAGGGCGGTCGGGATGGGGGTCGACAGCTCGGTCTCGGAGGTGGAGGGGCTCGTCACCAATCCTGGAGTTAATGAGGAGGAGGCCTATCTCGTGAATACGTTCGAGTCGAACTGCAACATCGATACCAGAGTCGTCGAGGGCCCGTTCGAGTCGTTCCTGGAGGCCCGGCCTGTCGTGGACTTCGACGAGGTCCCAGCTCATCTCGCTCGGGCGTCTTCTTTGGGGGTCAGTGGCTGCCGTGCACGTGGACGGACGGGCTAATATTCTGGCGCTTGATGGGGAGGCCCTCGTGCTGGGCTATCGACATCAGCAGCGGTCTTCTTCGGCGTTTGGGTCCAGGTTCTTGATTCTGTCAGACGATCTGCCTCTTGTCCTAGCGGTTGGGAAGGGACGAGCTCGGAGCAAACACCTCTCTAACACGCTCCGCAAGGTCTGCGCGCTGTCTGTAGCCACTGGTTCAACCTTGTCAGTTCGCTGGGCCCCGTCGGAGGCGAAACCCGCGGACGGTCATAGCCGCTGCGCTGCTGGGTGGTTCTCTGGCAGCCGAGCCGCTCCCCGGGCGCCAGGCAATCTTCAGCTCGCCCATGCTGCGGCGCGTGCTGCTGCTGTCGCTCGCCCTGCTGGCAGCCGCGGGCCGGAGACGAGCTTCGCCTTCGCCGACGGCCCTCTGGGCCCAGCGGGCGCGGCACGCTCAGGGCTTGGCGGCGGGGACGCCCGAGGTGTCGGGCCTTTCGCTGCTGGAGAGGCTGGCGATTCGGGAATCCACAGCCCGCCTGTGACGGATGACGCTGAACGGCTTCGTCGAGTACTGCATCAAGCAGCACCTGGACTGGGCGGATCACCAGGCGCAGGACCAGGCGCTGGTAACTTTCATGGACAACCAGTTCCTTCTCGGCGGCGGCGGGGACCTCGGCAACGTGCTCCTGGCGGCGGTCGCGCACTTCCTCGGCTCGTTTCACAAGCGGACGGCCATGCTGCTGCCGCGAGCGCATCGCGCCGCGGCCGCCTGGGCGCGGCGGGCACCATCGCGCACGCGGCTCCCACTGCCTCGTCGCGTCGTGTTTGCCCTAGCGGGCCTGCTGCTGCACGACGGCTTCCCTCGGCTCGCCATTTGCATCCTCATCATGTTCGTCTGCTACCTCAGGCCCAAGGAGGCGGCGAAGCTCTGCGGCCGCCACCTCGTAGCACCATCGGCGGCGGCGGGGGCAGGCAACCAGTTCTTCGGATTGCTGCTGCACGAGAGCGGCCAGGAGCCCGGGAAGACAGGCATCAACGACGAGAGAGCATCTTCTTCGATCGGGAGCCATGGCTCAACCCGCTGTTCGAGGCTCTGAAGGTCAGCACTGCGCCGAACCAGCGGCTGTTCGGCGAAGAGGTGGGCCGCCTGGGCGCGCTCTTCGGGCGCGCCTGCCGGAGGTTGTTGCTGCATCGGCTTCGCCCCCACCTCTACAGCCTACGGTGCGGAGGAGCGTCGGACGACATGCTATCCCAGCGCAGGGGTCTGGCAGAGATCCAACGGCGAGGACGGTGGAGGGCGGTCAAGAGCCTCAACCGTTACACCAAGGAGACAAAGCTCCTGGACGAGCTCGCCTGGATCCCATCGGAGGTGATGGAGTTCGGGGCCTTCGTCGAGAGCAACCTCCAGGAGCTCGTCAGCGGCGCGCTGCCCACCTGGCCAGCGACTGGCCGTGTGCCGGCAGCCATCGTGGAGCTCCTCAGCCCGGAGGCAGCGCCAGGCAGGGGCCCGCTGCGCAAGCGCCCAGCGGCTCGCGCCCCGGGCAGGGCGGTCCGCCAGCGGAGGCGGTGAGGCAGCACCTGTGGCGGCAGCATGGGCGCGCGGCCATCTCGAGCACGTGCCGTGGCGCCCTCCCGCTGCTGCGCCGCCGTCCTGTTCTGGAGTTGTTCTGCGGCGCTGGCACCATCGACTCAGCCATGAACGCCGCAGGGCATGCCGCGTTCGGGCTCACCTGGCGGCGCAGCCCGCTGGAGGACCACGTGGCGCTTGCCTTTGCCAAGGCCGTCTTGGGCTGGATCCGCTCTCGCGCGGTAGGCGCGGTCTGGCTCGGCACCCCGTGCACCAGCTGGACCCGCGCTCTGCGGCGACCTCTCAGGTCTGATAGCTTCCTTTTTGGCTTGCCCGACTTGACAGCTGCTGAGCAAGCCCGCTTAGACGCGGGGAACGCAACTTTTCGCTTCACGGTCACTATTATTCGTGCATGCATTGCTGCCCGTGTGCCAGTCTTTTTAGAGAACCCGCAGACGTCGCAGCTTTGGCTCTGCCCGCAGCTTCAGAAACTTCGTCAGAGTCCCGCGTGCCGCAAGAGCGTCGTCTTGCACCCGTGTCAGTACAGCGCCCCTTACAAAAAGGCCACCACCGTCATGTCCTGGCACGCTGGTTCCACTTTACCTCTCGAGAGGCGGTGCACCGGCAGGCGAAGTCTGTGCAGCCGCACCGGCAACAAGCATGTAGTGATGGAAGGCAGCGATGAGCACGGGCGGAAACGGACCGCCACTGCTGCAGAGTACCCGCGTCGTCTTCCACAGGCCGCCGCTTGCTGTATCATTGAAGCTCTCACCATCCAGCCCGCTCGGGCTCTTCACTTTCTTGCGATGCGGTGAAGCACGCCTTCTGCCATTCTTTCTGCAGTGTGAAGTTGATAGTTGCTAATGTTTAATGTATGTTCGGCCTTCGGCCAGTTGCACCTACGGGATCGGGCATGGGCCACCGTGCGCACTCGAGTGCCAGCATCGCCTGTGCTCGCTCGCGCCAGTCTCCAGATCTGTGCCTGGCCCTGTCGTGTCCCAAAAAGGAGACTGACCCCCGAGAAGCCTCAGCGAGCTGGTAGTTTTGACAACTGAATGCTAAGCGCTGGCGCCAGGGTGGACGTACTCGCATCTTGGCTCAAAGTTTTTCCCAAAGCCAGTTCGTGTTTCGCTTCTTCTGCGCAAGATTTTTTCGAGTGGGTATGGGCCACCGTGCGCACTCGAGTGCCAGCATCGCCTGTGCTCGCTCGCGCCAGTCTCCAGATCTGTGCCTGGCCCTGTTGCGTCCCAAAAAGAAGACTGGCCCCCGAGAAACTTCAGCGAGCTATATGTATGTATATATATATATATATATGTAAACATATGTATGTATATATATATATATATGTATATATATATATATATGTATATATGTGTGTGCGATAGAATTTGTACGTATGTATATGCATATGTATGTGTGTATGCGCGTGTGTGTATGTATGGATGTATGGATGTAGTGACGTATGTATGTATGGATGTATGTGTATATGTATACCTACATATACATATACATACCGCTCCTTGGGGGGCATGCGACGTCCTGATTTGATCCATATCAGGCGGGGAAAAACACACAGACACGATTGATCGTCGCTTCCCAGGAACCAATGGGAAACTCTGGGAAGTGGGGGGGAAGACGAAGACCCAGAACATACTAGGAAATATGGAAAATCCTGGGACTTGTGTGTATTTATTTGTGTGTGTCCTTGGACGCCCTTACAATACGCGGTCCCTGGAAGTCCAGACCAATTTCCCCGGGACCGATTTCTCGTCCGGAGTCGCTTTGGACAGTCCCGGGGCCCGGCGAGGGCCCCGAGAGGACGAAAACACGGCGAAAGATTTCCCGTCCTGGAGACGTCTGGCGACGCGAGCATGTCTGGGTAGGTCTCGTCCCCCGTGCGGACTCGGGGGCGCCGGCCACGCGCCGACGCGCCCGTCCTGGGCGCGCCACCTGCGCCGACCTACCAGGCCCTGGACCGGCCCGGCCAGGCCAGGGCCCGTGCAGGTGCCTCGGGCTCGAGGCACGGACACATCACGGCGCAGGGTGTTCCGCTGCTTTCGGCCTCCGGGGGCCCCTGCCAGGCCTCGGGGCCGTCAAGTCAAACGACTCGCGGGGTGAGAAGCCGGTCCCAGGGAAGGGGTCCACTGGGATGACCGTAAGGGGTTCTAAGTGGACGGAGGGGGTACAAGGGGATGCCAAGGTGGGTTCTATCTGGCCCAACCTGGCCTAGAAGTGGAATACTAGTGCCCCGAGTGGCTTAGGGGGGTGGGTTAGATAACTCCGCTCAGTGGGCGGAGCCCACTTAGCCCCGATCGTCAACCCCCATAATCCACTCGGGGCACTTGTATTCCACTTATAGGCCAGGTTGGGCCAGATATAACCCACATTGGCATCCACTTGTAACCCCCCTATCCACTTAGAACCCCCCACGGTCATCCCAGCAGACCTCGGGGGGTGGACGCCACGAAGAAATCACGACGTCGGGGGTCCGCAGAGGTAGGCATGGAGGACAGGATCGAGTCGCATCGGATCGAGCTCTTGGGGCACGGCATCGGGCTCGACGGACCTCGCGAGGCGCCCAGGCGCTCCTCCCCTGGTGGCTTTTGCCGAGCTTGCATGCCTCTGGAGGAGATATCATCTTTGGGACGGGCATGTCCCCCTACAGGCAGAGGTTGGAGGAAGAAGCAAGGTAATTAGTCAAACAATGTCCAAAAACGGGCAACAGAGATTCAAAGCATCGTCCCCAGACTATCTTTTTGAGTGGGTTTGAATATTCCTCGTGTGGACCCAGACATGCGACGTCCTGATTTTCCCAGGACGGCGTTTCTGGAAGTCCCCACCCTTTCCCCAGAACCGGTTTTTCGTCCTGAGCCGTTGCTCTACGCTCCCGGGGGCCGGCGAGGGCCCCCCGAGGCCGAAAGTAGCGAAAATCCATCCGACCTGATTTTGTAACGACGCGAGCGCGTCTGGGGAGGGACATGCCCGACTTAATATCATCTCCGAGGCGGCTCGGAGAGCGCGGGGAGGGGGGGCGTCGCCTGAGCAGGCCGCGGCCCCCGGTGGCCTGCGCGTGCGCACCGCGGCGGGCAGCGTGGTGGTGTCGCTGGCGCTCGAGGAGTGCGCCGGCATGCCCGTGAAGCTGCTGCGGCAGAGGCGGGGCTCGTTTCTCACCAGGCTCGGTTCCACTACTCGCAAAGTGCCTACTCGCAAACGCCCGGAAAACACATGTCCGCTTCGATGTAATTTTAGTAATTGTTCGTAGATTCCCCGCGACGGATCCAGGCGATTTGCGAGTAGCTACTTTGCGAGTAGTGCGCCGGCATGTCCGTGAAACTGCTGAGGCAGAGGCAGGTCGGGTATAGCCAGGAGCCCAGGTAAGGGTACCCGGTTAGTGGTAGGGCCCTGGAGCCCCCAAATTTGCCAGGATCACCCAACCAGGTCTGTCGTAGCTGGGATTGTCGGGTGGCGGCAGTTCCGGTTCGTGGAATGGGGCGGGGGGGCGTCCCCCAGTACACATCACTAAACCAGGTCCCACTAAACCCAGTTCTGCCAACGCCCGAGCAGGGCTCGTGTCGACGCCTCCGGTTCGATTCCAGACATGATCGCGTCGTAAAACAGAGAATCAGGCCGGACGGGAGGTTTCTGGCTTTGTTCGGCCCCTGGGGGCCCTCGCCGCCTCCCGGGAGCGTCAAAGAACGACGCAGGACGAAAAGCCGGCCCTGGGGAAGGGGTCGGGACTTCCGGGGACGCCGTATTGAAAGAATCAGGACGTCGCATGTCTGGGGGCAGGGCTCGCTTCGATTCATCCGATGCGATTCGATTCGACGTTGGTGGATTCCGATTCTGATTCGGTTCGATTTCGGATTCGGATGTGGGCTCCGATTTCGTCTTGGACGCATGCTAGCCTGCCGATTTCCGCCGATTCGATTTTTCCCAACTCGGCTGCCGATTTCCTCCGATCCGATTTGTTTCGATCGCCGATCCGACTTATCGATTCGAGTCTGGGCTACCCTGCAGAGGGTGTTCGAGGCGGCGGCCACGTCTCGAAGAAGAAACAACGCCATCAACATAAACTTTTGGCGCTCCGCGCGGATTTCTTGGATCCGCGCCTGGCCCCCCCGGCGGCGCTTCCAGAGCGCCGCTTCCGGCGCGCTCTGCGCGCCAGGGAGGGGGGCCCAGGCGCAGATCCAATCAGGGGCAACGATAGGGGGGGATAGGCATAGGGGGGGATGCATCGACCCCCAATCGCCCATTGATCGCCGATATGGGCCCGATAGCTCCCACCTGCCCATGAACGTGCGTATTCACTACCGGGGGCATATTGCCGATTCATCTGCGATGTATCGCCGATTCCAGGTCGACGCATCCGCCCCTATGCCCATCCCCCCCTAACCGTTGCCCCTCATCCAAGAGGCCCGCGCGGAGAGCCAAAGGCTGATGTCTGTGGCCTTCTCTCTTCCTTCCAGCGTCGGGCCACGTGAAGCTCCTGCTGGCGGCGAGGCAGCTGAAGGACCGGCGGAGGGCGTGGGGCTCGCGCGCGCCTTCTCGGTGCAGCGCCGCTCCGACGCTCGCTCGCCGCGCGGGGGGGGCACCCGGGGCCCAGGCGTGCTGCGCAGTGGCAGACTGGCACTGAGTCGGGCCTGTCCCTCTACAGGAGGAGTATTCAAAAGCAGCCACAACATAGCCTGGGCACCATTTGTTGAGCAGGCTAGGACCATCTTGGAGCACTTGTGGAATACTGTTTGTTTCTCATCAAAGATCCCCCTGTGTAGGGAGACGCGCCCGACTTCAGCCCAGACGTGCTGCGCACTGACAGACCGGCACCAGCGAGGCGGGAGGAGGGAGGCGGCAGGCGGCAGGCGGCAGGGCGAGGCGCTCGGTCCGCAGACGCGCGACGCCCTGATTTTCTCAGCACGGCGTGCTCGGAGGTCCCGACCCTTTCCCTGAGGTCCCTTTTCGAGGAGGAGGAGGAGGGAGGGAGGGAGGAGGAGGAGGAGGAGGAGGAGGAGGAGGAGGAGGAGGAGGAGGAGGCCCAGCGAGGGCCCTCCCGAGGCCGAAGCCTGGCGCGAGCCTCCCGCCCCGATGTTTCCACGACGCCACCGTGCGTGGGATCGTGAGGAGTTTTGCGCCAGCGCTGCGGCCCAGCCGAGTCTGCGCGCAGGCAGGGCCCGTCAGGCAGCCGCGGCCGGTCTCAGAGCAGGCCCCGCGGGGCAGGCCTGGGCGGCCCCAGTGGTTGAGATCCGCCTGTGGGCCGTGGGCCTCTGGGGGGCCGTCTGCGCGCAGCCTCACAAGCACTTGCCATTGAAGGACTCCGAGAAGCTCGACGACTTCGTCAACCCGGGCGAGGCCAGGGCGGATGGGCCTGTTTTCTACCACCACCACCACCACCACAACAAGAAGAAGTTGGAGGGGGAGGGGGTTCTCGTCCTCCTCCTCCTCCTGCTCCTCCTCCTCCTCCTCGTCCTCCACCTCCTTCCCCCTCCAACTTATGGTGGTGGTAGTGGTTTGAAAACAGGCCCATCAAGGGGGGTGGGCCCGAAGTCGGCGGGTCAAGGATGGTTTCCCGAGGGATGGGGCTCTGAGGTGAAAGATGGGAGAAGGATCCGAGGCTGAATCTTCACTGGGCCACCTGCTCGTCCTCAGGGCCCCATCCCTCAGGGCCCCTATGCTCGAACTGCCGACGAAGGAAGCGCACGCTCTCTTTCTTGAGACCTTCCCTTGTGAGATCTTCTCGTCTCGCCTCCTCCGCTTTTCGGGGAGGGCGGGGCGTTCGCGCGCGGACCTGCGTTGGGCTTCCCAGAGGTGCAGGAGATCCTCATGGTCGCTTCGCTGGTGCCCCGACTCGATCCCGATAGGCTTCCGATTGATCAACTGGATGCCCTGAAGGGCATGATCATGTCGGACTCTGTCGAGTACCAGCTGGACGGAGTCACCCACGTGCGGAAGCTGATCTCTACAGAGGACCCTCCGCTACAGAGGATTATCGACATGGACATTGTTCCGCGCCTGGTCCAGTTGACCGGGGAGCCAGACGACACCACGCCGGCTGTTCAGTACGAGTCGCTCTGGGCGTTGACAAACATCGCCGCTGGCTCCAGCAACGAGACCAGGGTCGTGGTGGACGCCGGCGCGCTGCTTGCCTGCAGAAGGATCCTCGAGGAGCCGCCGAGCGACGAAGTTCTCGAGCAGGCCATCTGGGCCATCGGCAACATCGCGGGCGACTCGTCCGTCTTCCGCGACGCGGCGCACGAGGCGGGCGTGGTGGAGCCTCTCCTCCGGGTGCTCGAGCGCGACCTCCAGGACCGCCCGTCGCTCCTCCAGCAGGGCGCGTGGGCTCTGTCCAACCTGTGCCGCTTCAAGCCGCCGCCCGACGTGGAGTTGCTGGCTCCCGCGCTCCCAGTGCTCGCGAGGCTGCTGAGCCAAGAGAACCCCGAGGTGCAGACGGACGCTGCCTGGGCCACCAGCTTCATCTGGATGGCCCAAAAGACAGCATGGCCATGAACTTTTGCAGGTCCGCGGGGACTTTCTTCGTGGGGCGCCCAGATCCCCCACGCCCCTTCCCCAGCGAGCGCCGGTGGCCGCGCTGGAGGCGCCTCTCGGGGGTGTCGGGAGGGGCTCCAGCGCCGGGCCAAGAGGTCCGTGCCACCTCCGAAAGTCTTTGGCTATGTGCTCTTGGCCGTCGGAAGTCTCCGATGGCGACGACGAGCAGATCCAGCTGGTTGTCGCGGCGGGCGTGTGCCCGCGCCTGGTGGAGCTCACCCTGGTGGAGCCCTCGGTGTCCGCCGTGCGTGTGCCAGCCCTGCGAACGGTGGGCAACCTGGTCACCGGGTGCGACACCCAGACCCAGAGCGTGCTGGACGCTGGTCTGCTCCCGGCCCTGGTTCTCAGGAGGAAAAAGCACACAGGCACAATTCATCGTCGTTTCCTTAGAAATATGGGACGTGGGGTGGGAGACATAAACCGAGAAAATATTGAAAAGTATAAGGAATTCTGTTGTTTCTGTGTATTTATTCGTGTGTCCCAGGGCCCCTTCAAAGACAATCGGGGGCTCCCAGACGGTGTAGCGACCACACCGTGTGGTGAGGCGGGGGGGGCTCGGGGTCACCGCACGGTTTTGGGACGTGGGTCGTTCTCCGAGGATGTCTCAGGCGACTGGGGCCTTCGAGGGCCCTTGGTGACGGACCCGGTGAGGTTTTTGTGCGGATTTCGAGGTCACCGCTGGGTCTGTCACCACACGGTTGTGGGACCCCCAGCACAATCACGGATGCGCATCGCATCTTCTCGTCTTCGCTTACCCGTTGCGGGTTTCCTGGCCTTGCCTTCGTCGCCGTGGCTGGACTCGCTTCGGAAACCTGGTCAGAGCGCGCATTGGGAGAGGTCCGCGTAGTAGCGGTGCCGGATTGGTTCGTTCCCCCAGGTCAGACTGCTGCGGGATGACGAGGTGAAGATTCGGAAGGAGGCATGCTGGGCATTCTCCAACGTCTTCGCTGGCCCGACGGAGCAAATCCAGGCGGCGCTCGATTCTGGCGCCGTCCCTAGGCTCATAGAGATCCTTGGCGAGGCAGACTTGGCCGTCCGGAAGGAGGCAGCATGGTGCCCGGCCTTTACAGAAAGGGGCGATTCTTATTATCCCTTGTTTTCCAGAGAGGGTTTTGTTGGTCTGCATCTTGCCCCCGGACTTTCAGGTCCAGCTCCAAAATTAATCCGATCCCTACGGATAGAGAATATGGGTAAGATGATGGAGTGGGAGCAGGAGCCGGTGTGATAAGAGCGGGGGCAGGACCGAGAGGGGGAAGGACAAGTAGAATTCGGCGGGGGAGCAAGTATGCCAGGCAGCTCGAACGACAACGGCAGGAGTGTGGGCATGGGCCCCTCCTACACGCACCTTCCTGCCACATGGTGTTCAATGCCGGCACACCGAGGTATCCAGCAAGAGCGCGCCCTCCCCCGGCGAGCGGCAGGCGTTCGCGAGCACGCGCGCGCCCCTAATTTCCGAGCAGGGCCCCGAGGTGAAAGGCACGCCCAGCTCGCTGGAACGCGACCCCGCTTCGAACGAACTAGCCTTAAATCGGGCCTGTCCCTCTACGGGAGGTATATTAAAAAATAGTCAAAAATAGTCTTGGTACTAATGTTCCATCATGTTTTAAATTATTGTTTGAATATCTTTCTGGTGAATGTTTAATTTTTCGCCCCAAATCCCCCTGTTGGGGGACACGCCCGACTTAAAACAAGCGACGAAAATCAACACTCCGCGCCCTGGCGGGGGCGTAGCCTCCGGGCGCGTAGCCTTCGGGCCAAAAAGCTCACGAGACGCACGTGGAGGGGCGTCATGCTGTTGCCCCGGGCGCGGCCCCTCTCCGGACGGCTCGGCCAATCGTCGACGAAGGATGCGGCCCTCAGAGGCTGGAGCCACCTCGGGAGAGGCCTGGGCGAGGCCAACATTTTCGGGCATAGCCAGGACCCCAGGTAAGGTTGAGTCGGGCCTGTCCCTCTACAGGGGGAATATTCGAACATAATCTAAAAATAGTCTGGGGACGAGTTCTTTAATTTTGTTACATCATTTTGGCGAATTGTTGTTTACGATTTTTACCTAACAGCGAAGACTGATAGGTTTCTAGTGGGATCAAAAGAGAGCAGCAGATCACTCCACAGGGGGGTCCGGGCAGGTGTTGGGAGTTGCCGGGCGGCAGGTGCCGGGCTCGTTTTTCACCAACAGTCACACACTTCGTGCTCTTCGACTTCCAGAACTCCATTCCCACACTCCACTTCGTGCTCTTCGAGATCCCAGAACCCATTCCCGGGCCACATTCTTGGATGCAACAGTCACACACTTCGTGCTCTTCGAGTTCCCAGAACTCCATTCCCGGGCCACATTCTGGAGGGCCGGATGCAACAGTCACACACTTCGTGCTCTTCGAGTTCCCAGAATTCCATTCCCGGGCCACATTTTGGATGCCCGGAGCCAACTGTAGGCCACTTCGTGCTCTTCGAGTTCCCAGAACTCCATTCCCGGGCCACATTTTGAATGCCCGGAGCCAACTGTAGGCCACTTCGTGCTCTTCGAGTTCCCAGAACTCCATTCCCGGGCCACATTTTGAATGCCCGTAGCCAACTGTAGGCAACTTCGTGCTCTTCGACTTCCCAGAACTCCCATTCCTGGGCCACATTTTCAGCAGGGGCAAGAGCACGACGAGGAGGAGGACGAGCAAGACCAGGAGGACGAGGACGAGCAGGAGCAGGACGAGGAGCAGGAGGAGCAGGAGAAGAAGGACGAGCAGGAGGAGGAGGAGGACGAGCAGGAGGAGGAGGACGACCAGGAGGAGGAGGACGACCAGGAAGAGGAGGAGGAGGAGGAGGAGGAGGGGAGGGGGAGGAGTACCAGGAGGAGGAGGAGGAGGAGGAGGAGGAGGAGGAGGAGGAGGAGGAGGAGGAGGAGGAGGAGGAGGAGGACGAGGACGAGGAGGAGGAGGAGGAGGGGGGGGGAGAGTACCAGGAGGAGGAGAACGAGGACCACCAGGAGGAGGAGGAGGAGGAGGAGGAGGAGGAGGAGGAGGAGGAGGAGGAGGAGAGAACACCAGGAGGAGGAGGACGAGCAAGACGAGGAGGACGAGAACGAGGACGACCAGGAAGAGGAGGAGGAGGAGGAGGAGGGGAGGGGGAGGACTACCAGGAGGAGGAGGAGGAGGAGGAGGAGGAGGAGGAAGAGGAGGAGGAGGACGAGGAGGAGGAGGAGGAGGACGAGGAGGAGGAGGGGGGGGGAGAGCACCAGGAGGAGGAGAACGAGGACCACCAGGAGGAGGAGGAGGAGGAGGAGGAGGAGGAGGAGGAGGAGGAGGAGGAGGAGGAGGAGGAGAGAGCACCAGGAGGAGGAGGACGCCGCTGCGACTGTCATCGCGAATGCGACTACGACTGCGAGAACAGCAGAATTCGACAACTGGATTTTCATCTGAATCGTAAGGGGAATGCTTTCAGATATGCTTCTACACATCGCTGTTAGGTTGCTTTGCCGGGATAATTTTTATTTTCGCCCCAAATCCCCCTGTAGGGGGACAGACCCGACCTAAAGGTAAGGGGACCCGGTCAGTGGTAGGGCCCCGGAGCCCTTGACTTGGCCAGAGTCACTAAACCAGGTCTGCCGTAGCTGGTGTTTTTTCGGGTGCCGGCAGTTCCAATTCGTGGAACGGGGCGGGGGGGCGTCCCCCAATACACATCACTAAACCAGGTTCCACTAAACCCAGTTCTGCGAACGCCCGATATTTCGCTCACATACGCGCGACGTTTGCCGCGCATCTTTTGGAACGTCAGCGACACAGCGTCGTCATCTCCGCTGAGTTTATCGGAATTCGGGCCGCTTGACAGCGTGCTGAGATTCTACAGGCTTGCGCCACATCCGCCGACCCCTTCTGTGAGTGTTGCGAGGCCAGGAGTTTCTGGCCAGCGGCGTCTTGTGTGAGGGTGCGGTGTCGCGCGCGGGTGGTTGCAGATACGTAGGGGGTCCAAATGTTTGCGTGATGCCGGTGGTCTGGGGCGTGTTTTGTGAGCGCCTTGCGCGCTGTGCACCCGGGTGCGGGGTGTCCTTCTGGGAGGTCGGCCTTTCGACCCGCAACCAAGTGGAGGACCACCGGAAGACGAAAGGAGCAAGAGTAGTGGGCGGAAGTTGTGATCAGCGAGGCATCACCGCGAAAGATGTGGCAGCTGAGTCGAAACGGGTGGAGAGGCTGTTGGCGTTCGCAGCGCGCACGAAACAGTTCGCGCGGCAGCAGCACACTATCGCCGAGCAAGATAGTGAGCACGTCGCGAGGAAGAGCAAGGCTGTATGCGCGGAGTGCGTTGCAGTTGGCTTGACGGCTCGCAATACGGAAGCGTCTGGGGGTCTTTTGGGGGCCTTCTGGGGGCCTCTTGGGGGCTCCTTGGGGCGTCTTGGCGGCCTTTTGGGGGCCTCTGGCGGCCTCTTGGGGCACTATTGGGGTCCCCTGGGGCTCGTGGGGGCGGAAAGCTAGATTTTTGAATTAGTGGTTGCCCTCTTGGGCCCCTCTTGGTGCCGTCTTGGAGCCTTCTTGGGCCGTCTTGGGGACCTCTTGTGCCGTCTTGGGGCCGTCTTGGGCCGTCGTGGGGCCGTCTTGGGGGCCTCTTGGGCCGTCTTGGGGCGGTCTTCGGGGCCTTTTGGGCCGCCGTCTTGGAGCGTCGGAAAGCCCACGAGGCGAACGTATGAAACATATAAGTTGTACGAAGGAAATGAACACATTTTTGCGTCTAGGAACCCTCTTGGGACGCATCTTGGGGGCCTCTTGGGGGCGTCTTGGGCCATCTGGAGGCCATCTCGGGTGTCTTCGGCTGCTCTTGGACCGTGTGGGACCATGTTAAGCTTTCTTGGAAGCCACTTGGAGCGCTCCTGGAGCGCTCTTGGGGCCGTCTTCGGGGCTCTCTTGGGTCGTCTTCGGCGCCTCTTGGGCCGTCTTGGGGCCCTCTTGGGCTGTTCTGGGGCCCTCTTGGAGGCTTCTTGGACCGTTTTGGGGCGGTCTTGGGGGCCTCTTGGGCCGTCTGGGATCGTCGGAAAGCCCAAAAGGCGAATTTGTGAAACATGCACGGTTTACCAAAGGAACGGGCCAATTTTTGCGTCTAGAGGCCCTCTTGGGGCGCATCTTGGAGGCCTCTTGGGGCCTCTTGGGGGCATCTTGGGCCGTCTGGAGGCCATCTTCGGTGTCTTTGATCGCTCTTGGACCGTCTGAGACTATATTGAACTCTCTTGGACGCCACTTGGAGCGCTCCTGGAGCGCTCTTGGGGCCGTTTTCGGGGCCATCTTGGGCCGTCTTGGACGCCTGTTGGGCCGTCTTGGGGCCCTTGGGGCGGTCTTGGGGGCCTCTTGGGCCGTCTGGGAGCACCGGAAAGCCCAGAAGGCGAATTCGTGCAAATTGTACGTTTTACGAAGGGAATGGGTCAGTTTTTGCGTCTAGGGACCCTCTTGGGACGCATCTTGGAGGCCTCTTGGGGCCTCGTGGGAACTTCTTGGGCCGTCTAGGAGGCCTCTTAGCCCGTCTTTGGGTCATCTTGGGCATCTTGGAGCGCTCGTTTGGCGTCTCGGGGCCCTCGTGGGCCGTCTTGGAGGCCTTGTGGGGCCTTTTTGGACTGCACGTGGGCCCGTTTGTGCGCCTTTGTCAAGTTTTGGGACCTTTTGCTCCCCCGTGACGCGTTCGGCGGTGGGTGCCCCGGGGCCGGGGGGGGGGGGGGTCAAATCTCCGGTTTAGGGTTCCTGGGGGGGGGGGGTATGGGGGGGGAGCGATCTCCCACGCCTGGAGACCCACAAGGGGTCGGCGGATTTCTAGGCCTCCCAGGTGGGGTCCGAGTAGATCGGGTCGGAGGATCGCGTCGCATCACCGATGTATCGCCGATGCGAGCCTTGTCTGTAGATGTAAGGCCAGCGCCTTCCAAGAAGCAGCCTCCTTC